CAATAATACATAAATGTTTTAAACTAAATATGGTTGCCTATTACTGAGTTATTATTTATTTATGTGTTTACAATAACTGTCAATATTTTTAATGTGAAATGTTTCATTGATACACTATAGTAGGCGTAGCTATGAAAGTAAAAATTGCAAAGTAGTTTGATTCGCGTGCTCTTGTGTTCTTTCGTGAAACAATTTATGCCGACGTTACAGTGGTAATTACGGGGTGGAAAAAGTTAAGTGCCCAGTTTAAACTCCACTAAACTATTTGACATCGAAAAAACGAACGCTCTTGTTCGTACTTAATAGTCGAAACTGCCACACTTCGAATTTTATGTCACGCTGTTAAAAGCGTATAAGGCTGAATGTGAACAAATAAAAATAAGACAGGGCAATTTAAGCAACATGGCCATAAAATATACGATTTTAACATGTGAGTTACACAAATTACAAAAGAACATAATAAAATTGTAATAGTATCGTATGGTAGAGCTTTAATAACAAGTAGGGAACGGACTCTATTCACAAATAATCTTGACATTTAATTTATCAGTGCTACGTATTCATTGAGTACTTTGAGTAGACCAATTATGCCTTATAATTAAAGCTCCGTCGTGACAATAATGAAGGCACGCAGTCGCTCTACCTCTACGTAAACGGAATACGTATCGCACACCTTGATCTAATTAATGCGAGTGTCTATCTACCGTTGGAATGGAAATCAGAAAACAAAGCGCGGTGGTGTTCCGTTGCCGAGTGCATTGAATGTCGCGCTATTATTAGATTAGGTCGATCCGCGAAGGCTTGATAGGGCCGTAGGGCGCGCCGGGCCCTGCGCATCGATTCACCCCTCCCACCGCATTATTGCTCTCGTGACTTGTCACATGATGCCTTTCCTATCAGTACGCTGAGTTTGTCACAATGCTTCACTGTCAGGTATACAGGTCGCTGTTATCTATGGTAATTATATTAACGAGAACGGATTAAAAGTAAACCTGTAGCACCCGTAGCGCCCGTAGATTCGTAGCAAGTGAAACGAAAACGGAATCGTTACAGCCGGATTACAAAACACATATAAAATAGGTATGGTAATATTTAAAATTAATGTCCCAAAAAATTAAAACCGCATATTATACGGTCTCTTTCTTCTTGTTTTGCTAAAATAAATTAAGACTGTTGTTTACGTCCGGCAACATTCTGGTGATGAAACTAAAATGAACACACTTAATACACGTGATTTGCTAAATAATTTTTAAAAATGATAACACAATATTACGGACTTTTTCACAGAGTTTTCGCACGTAATAACGTTTAGCCGTTGACGATGTATAACGTATTTACTTTTCATGTAAAACGCGCACAGTTACCGGTTGCACACTGACCCAATTTTATCATGTCCAATATTGCAAAAATTATCGACGGTGTACCTACCTACGTTCAGATCCGGAGCTGCACTTAGTTGAAATACGTATTCGCTATCCAAAACGAAACGCAATTCCATTTTTATTGGGGGGTGAGCTTTACGTAATACCTATATTATTTGAAAATAAATCCGTGATAAAGACTAACTACATCTAGATGCTAGTACGTAACTGATAAATTAAAGTCTTTATGTATTTCCACAAAAGTTTTTACACTGCTTCACTTTTAGGGCTTACTGGGCCCATAACCTGATAAATTAAAGTCTTTATCGAGGAAATAAATGTGAATTTAATAACACCAAACAATCACATGTACGGATCGTAGATCAGAGAGTAGAAAGGTGACAGAGCTGTCATAGACAAAATAAAAAATAAAAATACGGTCAAGCGTGAGCCGCATGTAAAAGGCGATAAATTTCAAAAAAGGTTTAACAGTAACATTGTCCAACATATTGAACCTTCTATTACGCAATAGGTTTAGGCTTGTTATATCGTACTCCCATTACACAGAAGCATCCCTATGGGTAATGTCAACTGTTCACGGACCATTGACTTCCCGAATCTCCGCCGTCGCAGCCTCTTAGGCGCCGGGACCCGGGAGGCGAAGGCTTGTTGTCCTTCCATTTATAATGAATTTATAGTTATAAGTAACCTGAGTAGTGATTTTTTTCAGGCAAAATACTAGTTGGGAATTCTTAGATAAGCACGAGTGGTAAAATACGTATAATTTTTTATACACTTTCTACTAAGTAGGAAGAAGGCTTTAAGGAAAAACTACAACGAAAACATTTTTACAAGCTTTATTTAAGGCTATAAAAACGTCGATCGGGGCAATATAATCCCCCTTTTTGTTAGAGAATGCTATGAATGCGTGAGTGAATCATTTCATGGAAACTTTTGTACATAGTCAGCATAAATATTAGAAAACAACAGTCGTAAACTAAAAGGGACAGGGTAGGTAGAGTTGAGCCGACTAAACTCATGCGTTTTTGATAGCACCCGTTGCCGGTTTAGGGAATACGAAACAAGTTTTGGGAAATAGGTCACTGCTTTCGAAATGTTCAATATTTTACTCGGCTTAATAATTACTACGTAGGGTAAGTTTAGGTAACCTAAGTTACCTAACACGTATTTCAATTTTAAACTTTACAGCTTATCTCTAAAAATTGTGGCCGTAGTTTGTGATAGTGTGCATAAAGCACGTAAGTAGGTCACACAACCTATTTCATATTTAGGTAAGGATATGCAGCCTCATTCTCGACTCGAGTCTAGGTAGTGCTAGTACCTATACCGAATGTTAATATCTAATTTTACTTTTGGATGTGGTAAACAGAGCCGCGCTTTTTTTTCTTTGGCAGGTAATGCTTCAAACGCAATACTTGTTTGAAAGCTTAAGTTGAATTTAAATTCGTATTTAGGAATATTAAATAATAAGTAGTTGTTATGATCAAGGCGGAAATCTGTCTCACACGGCCCTTTCGGTTCGCTTGTAAGTCAGTACATACGTAGCCAATACAGACGTGAGTAGGGAAACCCCTGTATCGATCTGATGCTCCATCAGCCACTCTGAAATATTAATACAACAGCACTAGCGCTAGCGCCCGGCCAAGTCTGTTCATTACGAAATTGACCGATCCCAATCGCAATATGTTGGGCTACTTGTAGACATGTAATTGAAATGTTCGGTTTCGTAGCATCTACGAAATTGACTTTAATAATTTATGTACTCGTAACATGTTTAGTTTCTTGAAATGCATAAAATACCTATAGAAGTGAATAAAATAAAAGATATCTACTTATTTAATGTCTTTGTGATTGAGGATTTTCATGTGAGATTTAATTCAATTCTTTGGGCTACTAAAGTCGTCTGTCGGTGGAGCTTTTCGGACTGACGACAATAAGATTCGGCACTAAAGAACATTGAAAAAACTTAACACTTTTTTGTTTAAAGCAGTAGGTAATTAAATTTTTTTTAGTGAAATCATCCTTCATTTTTATTTTAAATTGAAATGATTCCTTTGATTTTATGTTTGTTCCACTATATATTTTATTGAAGGAACTCCATATATTTCTTAACGATGCCGCGATACTGACACCCTGACCTATGATGCTGTTAAGCATTTTATATTTGCATAATGTGATAATCTAGGTCAGGAACGTTTTATTATTGTTAAATATAAATGATTGTGAATGCATAGCATTCATCAAATAATAAGTAGGGATAAATAAATACGGACTGAACTCGCATAGAGACATAATGAAATCTCTGTTGGATCTTATTTGACTGGCCTGGCGAACATTGATATATTCGTATCCGAAATACGTATACTTTGTATATGTAAAAAATAATTATGAACTAAATCTGCCGCCCTAGGCTTCAGCCTACTCAGACTGCTGGTAAATCCGCCACTGAATCAGAACGTAAATTCAGTATATTGATGTAAAATTTCGCCCTATGATAGTATATTCCGTTGGTTGTATGCTTCTTAGAATTGCTATATCGATTGGCTGTAAAGCCTGTATAACTAAAGAAGAGCATTCGATCGACCTATTTTTATAAGGTGGATGTGACCACTTACAGATTTCATTGAAAAAGTGTGAATTAAGGATCTGGTTTTATAAATCGTCAATAATGTAATGTTACATTATGTAGGTACGTTAAGTACAATAAGTACCTATCTATACGCAGGTACACATTCAAATCTTAAGACAGCCCCGTTTCCTGAACTGAATTTTAGGATAATTGAAGCAAAATAAATGACATCAGAACGAAATTGGAATAGTCCCCAATTTCACTTAATAATGATATGCTAAAGATCCCTGGCTGCCAGGCTGGCACATTGCCAGCTTACCCTTAAATCAATGTCTGGAGTGCCTGAAAGAGGGTCGGAAATTGACAATTACCTTACTTATTTGTATGAACCTAGATCGGTGCACCTGATTATGCTATTTATGACATTTTATAGATAGTAGGTGTGAATAGTAAGTAGATATGATTTATTAAGGTCTAAATAACTGTTGTTAAAAACGATTGATCTAAAATTAATATAGGTAGTACGAGGTTTGTCAGCCAATATTGGCAAACAGTAAACAGCAGCGTGCAAACAAACTTGTGTTCAATGCGGTTGGATAATTTGGTCTATGTAGCACGTAGAGACAAATATTGGGCAATTCTCCTAACAGATAGGTACCTAGGTAGGGTTCATATTTTAGACATGTGTCTAACGTTTTTTAGTGACAGTTAAATATGGTGGTAGGGCAAGCTGTATTCGGGACATGTACTGCTGGACCCGAAAGGCCCTAAGTAGGTACTGAGACTAAGTAAATGATTTGATCTGATTAATCTGATTTGATTTGATAGATATTTTCAGTATAGGCGGCCTTGCTTGTCTTCTCGTTCTAAGTTCCCCTTTGGCTGTCAAAACCTGAGAAAGAATATCCAAATGCCCTTAATGTTCTATGGTAGGTTCGTTCGTTCGTTCGTTTCAGCCGAATGACGTCCACTGCTGGACAAAGGCCTCCTCCAAGACCACCTTGTCTATGGTAGGTACTAAAGGTTAATTGTATTTTTCGTTGTTCCAGTTTGAAAGGGGTAGCCGGGAATCATCGCGCCAATGAAGCGACGGCGCCCGGCGCCATGAGCTAGCGGCATGGGTGGCGAGGGGGCGGGCCGCGGCGCCGCGCGCTGGCACGTGGGCGACTCGCCCCCGCGCGCGCCCATGGGCTTCGCGGCGCCGCCGGACGCGCTGCTCGACCGCGGGCTCGCGCCGGCGCCCGCGCCCGCGCCGGCGCCTGTCCCAGCCGCGGCGGGCAATGCGGCCGCGCTGCAGCGGGCGCATTCCAGGTAAATATAAGTTTTCTTGAAAGAGGGATGTGATTCTGCAGTGGAATTCCGTACGAGTAACATTGGCGTTGGCTCTGAGTATAGCTTAGAGAAGCGCCGTGGTCATATAAGACTGTAGACCACAAGAGGCGCCGAAATGCCGCACGCTATCTAAACACTGTAAGCTTGTAATAAAGGTGATGTGAAAGTCACGTGGGCGACTCGTCGAAGCGCGCCCATGGGCTTCGCGGCGCCGCCGGACGCGCTGCTCGACCGCGGGCTCGCGCCAGCGCATGTCCCAGCCGCGGCGGGCAATGCGGCCGCGCTGCAGCGAGCGCATTCCAGGTAAATACCAACACTAAAGTTATTTTTTTGTGAGAAAATCGTGCTCCTGCTGCTGTGAAGACAAAATGCTGATGAGGACGGAAAGTAAGAAAGTAAGAAGAAAGAGAGAAAGTAGAGCAAAGAGGAGCGCCGTGGTCACTTTAAGCATCATACCAGCGGCGCCGAAATGCTTTTAGTAATTTAAGGTGATGTGAAAGGCACGTAGGCGACTCGCCCCCGCGCGCGTCCATGGGCTTCGCGGCGCCGCCGGACGCGCTGCTCGACCGCGGGCGCCGGCGCCTGTCCCAGCCGCGGCGGGCAATGCGGCCGCGCTGCAGCGGGCGCATTCCAGGTAAATACCAACACTAAAGTTATTTTTGAGAGAAAATCGTGCTCCTGCTGCTGTGAAGGCAAAATGCTGATGAGGACGGAAAAAGAAAAAGTAGAGCAAAGAGGAGCGCCGTGGTCACTTTAAGCATCAAACCAGCGGCGCCGAAATGCTGCACGCTGCTTAAAAATTGTAGGCTTTTAGTAAATTAAGTTGATATGAAAGTTACGTGGGCGACTCGCCTCCGTGCGCGCCCATGGGCTTCGCGGCGCCGCCGGACGCGCTGCTCGACCGCGGGCGCCGGCGCCTGTCCCAGCCGCGGCGGGCAATGCGGCCGCGCTGCAGCGGGCGCATTCCAGGTAAATACCAACACTCAAGTTATTTTTTTGAGAGAAAATCGTGCTCCTGCTGCTGTGAAGGCAAAATGCTGATGAGGACGGAAAAAGAGAGAAAGTAGAGCGGCGCCGAAATGCTGCACGCTGCCTAAAAATGTAGGCTTTTAGTAAATTAAGGTGATATGAAAGTTACGTGGGCGCCTTGCCCCCGCGCGCGCCCATGGGCTTCGCGACGCCGTGGGACGCGCTGCTCGACTGCGGGCTCGCGCCGGCGCCCGCGCCCGCGCCGTCACCTGTCCCAGCCGCGGCGGGCAATGCGGTCGCGCTGCAGCGGGCGCATTCCAGGTAAATATAAGTTTTCTTGAAAGAGGGATGTGATTCTGCAGTGGAATTCCGTACGAGTAACATTGGCGTTGGCTCTGAGTATAGCTTAGAGAAGCGCCGTGGTCATATAAGACTGTAGACCACAAGAGGCGCCGAAATGCCGCACGCTATCTAAACACTGTAAGCTTATAATAAAGGTGATGTGAAAGTCACGTGGGCGACTCGTCGAAGCGCGCCCATGGGCTTCGCGGCGCCGCCGGACGCGCTGCTCGACCGCGGGCTCGCGCCAGCGCATGTCCCAGCCGCGGCGGGCAATGCGGCCGCGCTGCAGCGAGCGCATTCCAGGTAAATACCAACACTAAAGTTATTTTTTTGGAGAAAATCGTGCTCCTGCTGCTGTGAGGACAAAATGCTGATGAGGACGGAAAAAGAGAGAAAGTAGAGCGGCGCCGAAATGCTGCACGCTGCCTAAAAATGTAGGCTTTTAGTAAATTAAGGTGATATGAAAGTTACGTGGGCACCTTGCCCCCGCGCGCGCCCATGGGCTTCGCGGCGCCGCCGGACGCGCTGCTCGACCGCGGGCTCGCGCCGGCGCCCGCGCCCGCGCCGGCGCCTGTCCCAGCCGCGGCGGGCAATGCGGCCGCGCTGCAGCGGGCGCATTCCAGGTAACTGCTAAGACGAAAGTTCTTTTTCGAGAGAGGGTCGTGCTCCTGCTGTGAAGACAAAATGCTGATGAGGACGGAAAGTAAGAAAGTAAGAAGAAAGAGAGAAAGTAGAGCAAAAAGGAGCGCCGTGGTCACTTTAAGCATCACACCAGCGGCGCCGAAATGCTTTTAGTAATTTAAGGTGATGTGAAAGGCACGTAGACGACTCGCCCCCGCGCGTCCATGGGCTTCCCGGCGCCGCCGGACGCGCTGCTCGACCGCGGGCTCGCGCTGCTCGACCGCGGGCGCCGGCGCCTGTCCCAGCCGCGGCGGGCAATGCGGCCGCGCTGCAGCGGGCGCATTCCAGGTAAATACCAACACTAAAGTTATTTTTTGAGAGAAAATCGTGCTCCTGCTGCTGTGAAGGCAAAATGCTGATGAGGACGGAAAAAGAGAGAAAGTAGAGCGGCGCCGAAATGCTGCACGCTGCCTAAAAATGTAGGCTTTTAGTAAATTAAGGTGATGTGTAAGTCACGTGGGCGACTCGCCTCCGTGCGCGCCCATGGGCTTCACAGCGCCGCCGGACGCGCTACTCGACCGCGGGCCCGCGCCGGCGCATGTCCCAGCCGCGGCGGGCAATGCGGCCGCGCTGCAGCGGGCGCATTCCAGGTAAATACCAACACTCAAGTTATTTTTTGAGAGAAAATCGTGCTCCTGCTGCTGTGAAGACAAAATGCTGATGAGGACGGAAAAAGAGAGAAAGTAGAGCAAACAGGAGCGTCGTGGTCACTTTAAGCATCACACCAGCGGCGCCGAAATGCTGCACGCTGCCTAAAATGTAGGCTTTTAGTAAATTAAGGTGATGTGAAAGTCACGTGGGCGACTCGCCTCAGTGCGCGCCCATGGGCTTCGCGGCGCCGCCGGACGCGCTGCTCGACCGCGGGCGCCGGCGCATGTCCCAGCCGCGGCGGGCAATGCGGCCGCGCTGCAGCGGGCGCATTCCAGATAAATATAAGTTTTCTTGAAAGAGGGTCGTGTTTCTGCAGTGGAGTTCCGTATGACAGTAACATTGGCGTTGACGCTTGAGACGCGCCGTGGTCATTTAATAAGACTGCAGACCACAAGAGGCGCCGAAATGCCGCACGCTATCTGCCGCGGCTGGTAGGTAATGCGGTCGCGCTGCAGCGGGCGCATTCCAGGTAAATAAAGAAAAATTACAAAGATTTCAGCCACTGCTGGACAGAGGCCTCCATCTCCAAGGATTTCCTCAACGACCCGTCTTGCTCTGCAAGCATCTAGCTGCTTCCCGCGACTATAAGACTATAGGTGGTACCTACCTGATGATGCTGAATGGTTGGCTCTGGGTTAGAGCACAACGCAGTACCATGGTCATTCAAAGCATTAGACAAAACGAAATTGTAACTTATGACCCGTTTATCTTTTTCAAGTGCTTTGATCGTCTTTCTTATTGTGTTTTTCAACATTTCCAGATCAATGTCGTCCCTACCGCCGGAGCCGTTTATGATGCTCCGCGCGAAGGCGCTGAGCAAGCGGGTGATCATCAACGTGGGCGGCGTCCGGCACGAGGTGTTGTGGCGGACGCTGGAGCGGCTGCCCCATACGAGGCTCGGGCGTCTGAGAGACTGCAACACACACGAGGCCATCACGGAGCTGTGCGACGACTACTCGCTGCAAGACAACGAGTACTTCTTCGATAGGTAAAGAGTTTTCATTACAAAAGAGCTACAGCAGTAATTTTCAGCTCCGACTCACTCTCATATCACTGACTCTGACGCTGTTATGATGACTCGACTAGAGTGGCTGCGAGACTGCAACACGCTGCAAGAAAACGAGTAGGTATTTCTTTGATAGAGCTTTTATTCAAAGCAAAACAAAGACAGCAGTAATTGTTGTCTCTCTTTTTCTGATGCTGTAATGAACGTGAGGTAAAGCGGAAACATTCTCATCGGTAGAGCGTTTCAGGCCGAAGGTAGAAGATAAGTGGTTGAAAACGAATTGCATAATTTTGATTCTGCATTGCAAATGACAGTTGCTGTACTGCATGTGATTATTCTTTACATCATAAATAATGTTAATTGTGTAACCATATCGAAACAATAACCGATTGTGTCACTGTTCTTTTTCACCATAGTGTTTTTAAGCCGAGAGGCACAATGTCTGAGTGTCGTTCTTCTTATGCAGTGATATGTAATTGTTATTGCCTTATTATTAACATTTGAATTCGTAACTTTTCAGGCACCCGAAAAGCTTCAGTTCAATATTGAACTTCTACCGCACTGGAAAATTGCATTTAGTGGACGAAATGTGCGTTTTGGCGTTCAGCGANGTCGTGCTCCTGCTGTGAAGACAAAATGCTGATGAAGACGGAAAGTAAGAAAGTAAGAAGAAAGAGAGAAAGTAGAGCAAAGAGGAGCGCCGTGGTCACTTTAAGCATCACACCAGCGGCGCCGAAATGCTTTTAGTAATTTAAGGTGATGTGAAAGGCACGTAGGCGACTCGCCCCCGCGCGCGTCCATGGGCTTCGCGGCGCCGCCGGACGCGCTCGACCGCGGGCTCGCGCTGCTCGACCGCGGGCGCCGGCGCCTGTCCCAGCCGCGGCGGGCAATGCGGCCGCGCTGCAGCGGGCGCATTCCAGGTAACTACCAACACTAAAGTTATTTTTTTGTGAGAAAATCGTGCTCCTGCTGCTGTGAAGACATAATGCTGATGAGGACGGAAAAAGAGAGAATGTAGAGCAAAGAGGAGCGCCGTGGTCACTCTAAGCATCACACGACCAGCGGTGCCGAAACTTGTACGCTGCCTAAAAAATCTAGCCTTTTAGTATATCAAGGTGATGTGAAAGTTAGTGGACTCGCCCCCGCGCGCGCCCATGGGCTTCGCGGCGCCGCCGTCGCGCTGCTCGTTCCGTATGACAGTAACATTGGCGTTGGCGCTGGGGTATAGCTTAGAGACGCGCCGCGGTCATATAATAAGACTGCAGACCACAAGAGGCGCCGAAATGCCGCACGCTACCTAAACATTTCAGTATAATTCAGCTACTGCTGGACAGAGGCCTCCATCTCGCAAGGATTTCCGCAACGACCCACCCGTCTTGCTCTGCAAACATCAAGCTGCTTCCCGCAACTATAAGACTATAGGTACCGATGATGCTGAATGGTTGGTTCTGGGGTAGAGCACAGCGCAGAACAATATTATGGTCATTCAAAACATTAGACAAAACGAAATTGTAACTTATGACCCGTAAATCTTTTTCAAGTGCTTTGATAGTCTTTCTTATGGTGTTCTCCAATGTTTCCAGATCAATGTCGTCCCTACCGCCGGAGCCGTTTATGATGCTCCGCGCGAAGGCGCTGAGCAAGCGGGTGATCATCAACGTGGGCGGCGTCCGGCACGAGGTGTTGTGGCGGACGCTGGAGCGGCTGCCCCATACGAGGCTCGGGCGCCTGCGAGACTGCAACACACACGAGGCAATCACGGAGCTGTGCGACGACTACTCGCTGCAAGACAACGAGTACTTCTTCGATAGGTAAAGAGTTTTCATTACAAAAGAGCGACAGCAGTAATTTTCAGCTCCTACTCACTCTCATATCACTGACTCTGATAATGTTATGATGACTCGACTCGGGCTGCTGCGAGACTGCAACACGCGCGAGGCGGTCACGGAGCTGTGCGACGACTATTCGCTGCAAGAAAACGAGTAGGTAGGTAGGTATTTCTTTGATAGAGTTTTTATTCAAAGCAAAACAAAGACAGCAGTATTTTTTGGCTCTCTCTCTCTCTGATGCTGTAATGAGAGGCACAATGTCCGAGTGTCGTTCTTCTTATGCAGTGATATGTTATTGTTATTGCCTTATTATTAACATTCGAATTCCTAACTTTTCAGGCACCCGAAAAGCTTCAGTTCAATATTGAACTTCTACCGCACTGGAAAATTGCATTTAGTGGACGAGATGTGCGTTTTGGCGTTCAGCGATGACCTGGAGTACTGGGGCGTCGACGAGCTCTACCTAGAGTCGTGCTGCCAGCACAAGTACCACCAGCGGAAAGAGCACGTGCACGAAGAAATGCGCAAAGAGGCCGAGAGCCTTCGGCAGAGAGAAGAGGAAGAGTTCGGCCAGGGCACCTGCGCTCAGTACCAGAAGTGGCTCTGGGACTTGCTCGAGAAGCCCACGACCAGTATCGCAGCTAGGGTAACGTATTGTCTGACTCCGTTATTAAAAGACACTAAAATTATATTCAACTAATCGTGCCACTCTAGCAATGCTGCCAAGGATGTTAACTTTATTGACGGGAAGGTATAGCCAATATAAAATTTAACGCTTTTGTCAACTGTGAGCAATTTGAATAGTTACAATGTCAAAGTTTTGCACTTATATTGTATTTTTGTGTAGATAGTAGATTTTACAGTTTATTCTATACGTTATTTATGTAAAATATATTTGTCACACACGTCTTTTGTACACGAACTTTTTAGGTCACACTCAGTACACAGTAAACACTTTTTTACAAAGAAGTTAATGCTAATTACATACTCGTACGTTATTAAGAAATCCATTTCTGTGTATACCTACTTAAAAAGGAAAAGCTTACGCACTGGCAACATAATATTGTTATACAGTTTTATTCAGTAGTTAAGTGCATTATCTGCACTGCACAGTGCACAGTTTTACATCATTGGAGAGTTTTAACATCACAGACAATGGCAGGACTCGAAGTATGGAACTCATTTAACTTTACTTTGTTTAATTGCTGCTTAACTTTTGTCATTCTTAATTACCTATTACTCGATATTAAGCACATAATGGTAACTGTAAATAGTGTTTTAAAGTGAAATGAGTTAGTTTTAATAAGACTAGGTATTTTCGTAGGTTTATTTAGGAACTAGGCTTTTGTACGACCGTGTAGTTTTTGTGGTGCATGAATAACATCTATCTCTCGCTGCTCCTACTTGGATGTCGTGTCTGTGTCTTGTCGCTGGTTGTGTTATGGAATGTGGTGTTGTGTTCAAATGTTGTACGTGTATCGTGACCATGACATGTGATCGCTTTTGTCGAACCAAACTTTCCGCTACTTTGTTGGATCACCTTACAGCTTGTAGACATACTTCGACATTTCATAATTATTTCGACAACAGCGGTGCTACTAACGCGCGTGTAAGTATAAAATATTATTTATTTTTTCTTTTTTTTTTATGATGAACCTTTAGTTCGGAAGTATTATTTTGTACCTTTTTTTATTTCTTTTTCTGTAATTTTTTTATAGAACTTATTTCATGCAGCTTGCCTACACAGCAAATTGATTATAATATGAACTCGATGTATTTATTTCATAACTTTAAAAGGTTGTACTTTCTGTATAGTATGGTATACTGTATTATAAATAATACACTTTTTATTTCGTTTTTTATAAATATGTTTAAAATGGAGGTAAAATCGTTAGAGATTTAAAAAAATCTTTTATGAATAAAAAAAACTAAGAAAATTCTGCATTAGTACTAAACATCATGGCATATTTTTACAAAATATAAGTAATATGGTTAACGGTTTTGCCTTTATTTTTGTATCAAAGTATCTGACATTTATACAATATTATACAATTTTAGTACTTAACACATTTATTTTTGTTCATATTCCACGGTGTATTGGGAGAGTGCCATGCAATTTACGCTTAATACTTCTTTAACATTTTCCATAACATTCTATATTTTGTAAAAAAAAAAAACCCTACACCCACCACTACACGTGGAAAATTAACAAAATTATCTTAGCCACTTTGGAAAAAGAGTTGCTTCATTTAATTATATTATTTACTACCTTCCACTACTGCATAGCTTAATATTGAAAATCCTTGTAGTACTCGTAGTAATATTTAATTAAATAAAAACATTTATGCAGCGACTCTGTTCCTATAATATTTATTGGATAGGTACTGTAAAAATAGGTCTTATTTATACATATAATATATATTATAATTTTCTTATTCAATGTTCACGCGAAGAAAGGCATTTCATGCCGAAACAATACTTCTGTAACAGTTAATTTTTATAAATGTTCACAGCCGCGTCGATCGTTCTCCGAATGGAGAATATTTAATAAAACAAAGCTTAATTGTTGTCGCAAAGTTGCAAACATGGGATGGGCTTACGCGATGTGACCAGCCGCCGCCGGCGGCGCTCCGCGGCCCGCGTGCGGGGCGGCACGGGACGGCGCGGGCGCCCCCGGACACGCGTGCGGCCGGCGCCGCGCCGCGCCCGCGCCGCCTCCCACTACGGCTGAGCGCCGCTCGCCGGCGTCCCTCTCCCATCCCGCCCTCCGCCGCGCTCCCGTCCCGATTCCCGCTCCCGGCCCCAGCGCTCTCCCATCGACCCACTAATGCTTCCGCTTCGTGGTACTGATCCGAATAACCGAGCGACGCGGGCAATGGACGGACGCGCGTGCTCCCCCTTAAGCCACTCGCGACTAAACGCACGTCCGTTCACCCATTAATTTTAGTTACTTACTATCTACACCTCGACCACACAACACTACTAACATATCACACGTATAGATGTTATTTTTACACCAAAATTTAAGCATTATTTTTAAGACATTGTTACATAAGATATTGGCTTTAACCGTCTTTTACCTACTGTAAATACTTACATATACCTACTTACATAAACCTCCTACGAGAATTCGTAGCATACCGATGTACAAAACTGTAGGAAGATTAGTGATGTATAGACACTGGCATACTTAGTTTAACAAACTGACACACGCGGCGCCCGCCCCCGGGCAGCGCCGCGGGCAGCGCGGTGGCGGGGAGCGCCGGCCTCACAATTGCGTACTTGCAGGTGATTGCGGTGATATCGATCCTCTTCATCGTGCTGTCCACGATAGGGCTCACTCTCAACACGATACCTCAGATGCAAGTGTACGACGAGAAGGGCGCGCCCATGGACAACCCGCAGCTGGCCATGGTTGAAGCCGTGTGCATCACTTGGTTCACGCTCGAGTATGTGCTGCGATTCAGTGCCTCGCCGGATAAGTGGAAGTTCTTCAAGGGTGGACTCAACGTGATAGACTTGCTGGCAATTTTGCCCTATTTCGTATCTCTATTTCTGCTCGAAACGAATAAGAACGCGACGGACCAGTTTCAAGACGTACGTCGCGTCGTACAAATCTTCCGTATCATGCGAATATTGCGCATCCTCAAACTCGCCCGGCACTCGACCGGACTGCAGTCGCTCGGCTTCACACTTAGAAACTCTTATAAAGAACTCGGACTGCTCATGTTGTTTCTCGCGATGGGAGTACTCATATTCTCTTCATTGGCGTATTTTGCCGAGAAAGAAGAACCGGGAACAAAATTCATTTCCATTCCGGAAACGTTTTGGTGGGCCGGCATCACCATGACCACAGTCGGATACGGTGACATTTACCCCACGACCCCGTTGGGCAAGGTCATCGGCTCAGTTTGCTGTATTTGCGGCGTGTTGGTAATTGCGTTACCCATCCCCATTATCGTCAACAATTTCGCCGAGTTTTACAAGAATCAGATGCGGCGCGAGAAGGCGCTAAAGAGGCGGGAGGCGCTCGAGCGCGCCAAACGCGAGGGCTCCATCGTCTCGTTCCACCATATTAACTTGCGCGACGCGTTCGCCAAGAGCATGGACCTCATCGACGTCATCGTGGACACAGGTCAGTACTGCCCCAGGGCGCCTGCTTGCACCGCTTTTTCAGTCCATGTCATGTGTCTCTGCCCGCGTATGTTTCTTCACTTTGCACGCATGCCTCTCGTGCTCATTCCGCATTTGTGTTATTGAATGCAATGAATGTTGAATGAACGCATGTGTCGTATCGTTTAGCTCTCCGGACTCGCGACATCTTCAGAATCAAAACAGATCACGTTACATCGCAGCTACAGCTATCTTCACCCGGCCGTTCCCACGTGGTGCACTCAGAGTATTTTATTCGTTGTCTTCAGGTGACAAGTGCGTCCTCATTGAGGCGAGAGACGACGCCAGATGAGCTACTTGCTACTTGCACAGTCGTCACCCTCGACCCTAATATTAATGTCCGTTCTCGGGTCGGGCTCGCGTCGCGTGTAGCTTGCGATGTGCGGCGAAGACACTATAATCTAAGGTCGTTAATTGTCAGCGTAAGCCTAACGCTTCCTAGAACTAATAATTTCTTCTGTGGACCTTCTGATGTATGTATCCGGAGGAAGCTGGATTCATAGACTATTCGTGTGGAATGTGTGTTGTGTAGTTCACGCTGCTACTTGTTTATCATCTGTTATTTAAATGTTACTCGTTTTCTTGGACATAAATACTCTTACATTAAAATAATTGCGTAAAATTGGAGTTAACCGGGTGGAGGAATGTAAAATCGTGGCTACTTACGATGGTGTGTGTCTCCAGGACACAACTTGTCGCAGGCGGATGCCACTAGCTTGGAAGGTGAAGCGCCCGCGACCACCGGCTGCTACAAACAGTATGAACACGCCATCTCCAACAAGATACCTCAGAGTACTGATCCTAGCCAGGTAAGAGACACAAACGAACGGCCTGGGTGCGTCCACGGCCCGTGGCTATTTCTTACGGTGAGCTAAGTAGGTAACATACAGTTTTCATAGTTGATTACTTGTAGTGCAGTATGCTTATTTCTCCTATTACGAAATTCTAAATTGATGACGATCAGTTGATCGCTTTTTTATTCCAGCACACCCACTTTTAAACTTCTGTTTGACCCAATAAAGCTTCCCAATCAATCTGCAACTGCGCGACGGATTCGAAACCAGACGCATGTCAAAGATGCGGACGCACCCACTCGATAAATTTGTGCACTTGGCTTGCTCTTAACACAGTAGGTCAGTTTCAGAGCAGTCCTAAGAAAGAGCGCCGGTACTCGACTGAGGGCCTGGGCACGCCGGAGAAACGCTTGCTCATTAATCCTGAACCAACACCAGTAAGAATTTTAATTTCTTCGCTAACACGTGCTGCAACTTAGCAACAGCCAACTCACTGAAAGTAAAACGGAGTGATAAATAATATAGTTAGTTACCAAGCTTACAAAATCATTAGAATAGAAACCTTCTAGAGCACTGGTATTTACTTAACTACATACAAACTTAAATAAACAAGATTAATGATAAATGTGATTGTATTTCAGCTTTCAAACTTACCAATTTAACTAATATCTTATTGTCACTTACTGTTGTGAAAATTTTGACCGCTTTTAAACTTAAAGAAATAGAAAACTACAGTAGCATCTAATGGTTTCTCTTTTTCTAGGAAAAGAAGATGGCTGACAAACAGCTTGACTTGGATCAGCTGCCTTCTGAGTTTGAATGTTGTTTTTGCACGTTCAAGGTACTAAGATACTAATTAATAACATTCTCGCGTACAACTAATGAATAATATTGTATAGCTTTGCGTACCTTTTGAGTTACTGTTTATACTAAAACTATTTTATACTAATAGTCCATTCAACCAGCTGTTTTACCTGTAAGTATGAAAGGTATAATTGCTATTCTATCTCTTAATAGTCTTAATTTAAGTAACTTTCTTTAACTTATTCTTCTCATTAGTTTCGGTACTTAATGTTTTTCTATTTCAATATATTCCCAGGTTCATGGGTTATTCTATCTTTTCTTCAGTAGAAGAATATTATTTCTTGTAGGCAATGTTTAAAATTAAAACCGTTAGAATTCTCAATTAACAGAAAATTCCCTCGAATTCGAGTAGGTATTCTTCATGAAAAAAAAAAAACTTAATGAAGATCTCGTAACTTTGTTGTGTGATCGGTAGGGTTACAAGGAGTTCATAGACGCGGAGCAGTTGATGCCGATGTCGACGTCGGACCTGCGGCAGCCGGTGTGCGTGGAGCTGGCGTGCCTACAGCGGCACCCTGCACCCAAGGCCCTGCCCGAGGCCACGCCCAACAGCCTCGACAGCCCTGGTACGTAGCCAAGCCTTAGCACCTGGGCAAGCGTGAACAATTCCACAACCAACTTCATTTTGATTCATATCACCAAAGTCTGCGAATCAATCGCAATCTCGAGTGGATTTTCTTCATGAAATCGACTTGTTCACGATTGCTCCTCAAATATTTTTTCATGAATGCTGTATCTTGTTATTAAGTAATTATTCATTTTGATTCATTGATATTTACTTGTAATCAAGTAGTTAAAGATTCCCGTAGCATCCTCGATTTGTCTCAATGTAAAGCTCCTCATTAGCTCACTTCTATGTTGTTTTTCTAAGCACTCACTCGTTACATGTTTTAGTGTTTAGTATGGGCAGCACACACCACTTTCGTGCTCCATGTGCGTCTTATGTCTTACGTTACAGATACATTTGCATCATGCCTTACGCACCCTTTTCCTTCAGAGGGCGACATCGCATGCGAGAACGACTCATCAAACTTGTATGTGAACCCTCTGGACGGTAGCGGCGGTGGCGGCTCTGGGGCGGGTGGGGGCACGGTGTCGGGAGAGTTTAACGGTGTGCGCAGGAGCGCTTCGGGGGACGGGGGCGTGTTATGTGCGAAAGGTTCTCAGGGCGAGGGCTCGCCGCGGGGCTCGCGCGCGAGCCTGGCCGGCGCGGCCTCGGTCGGCGCGGGCGCCGGCGCCGCGCCCGGCCCGCGGCTGGACTCCTCGCGCACCAGCCTCCCGCAACCGCTCGACGACGCGCCCGCCTCCGCCGGCCTGCCGCCCGACGACGCCAAGCCCAAACACAGAAAGGCCCGCTTCCAGCAGGTAAGAACAAAACCGAATACCGGTCTGATCGGAGAAATCGAACGACTCCCGAATTGTCGAATCTTGCACTGTCCCAGTCTTGTCTTTATGCAGTACTAATCGTATCGTTGTCCTGTCTGCATGGTATTAATTTTGTGAAAAGTATCGAGTGCATGCTTCCTTCCCCGGAGACGCTTTGAGAGTTGTACTTAGGTACAACAATCAATTATTTCATGGTAAAAAAAACGTGGTTGGGTTGGTTTTCAGGAATGGTCGGAGGAGGAGAGGAGGCCGCCGAGAGGGATAGCTACGAGGATAATCAATCACCACATCCTTTTTGGTAAATAGCCATTGATCCCTGGTTTTATCAAAATTTTGACGTAGACATTTTTTTTGCTCTAACCTCTCCTTAACTCCCTCTGCCAATGCTGTTATTAACGCATTATAAATGTATGCAAAATGCTTTGATTTTCATGCAAATGTTTTTCGAGCACCACCCATATACTTTACCAGAAACGTGAGTGACCACGACGACTTTTTTCACACAAAATAGTGACATCAGCCGCAAAGCGAACTTAATAATGTTTGAAAATGTATAAGGTAACAATAAATATGAAAAAGTTGAAGTTATTACTATATTCCTTATGTTCCAGGTAAAAACGGCAATAAGCAAGGTGACTCGCGCTCGCGGTCCATCCTGAAGAACAAGGAGTCGCGCGGAACCGACAGCGAGCTCCTCCTCCAGGAGACCACTTCGCTTGGCGCCAATGTTAGTATACAGGATGTTTTTCTTTAACCTTTACTAACAATAGTCAAAATAATTTTAGTAAATAAAAGTTTTAAACGGAAGTTCAAAACTTCATAAGAACCACGAGGGAATACCTACCTGTACCTAGGTGTAGGTAATTTGGTAGCTTCGGTAGTAACATTGGTGGAAAAATCGAATTTGAAACAATTATTATCATGTGTGCTTTGAGGGAGAATAGACAATAGTCAACGTATTGTTTTAAGCGCATATCAGTACCCTGAGCACGGATAACACTCGTAAACGTACTTTCATACTTGTAAAAATAAACGATTACCAGGCCTTAAAGCGGACGATAATGTTCACTAATGTTCAGGGTATAGTTGACGCCATAGTTACAGCAAAGCGACCTTAGGGCCCTCGTCCACGGCGACTTTTTGTAGCAATGCAGTCCCGATGCTGAAGCGCGTTGGCATCAAATCAAATCAAATCATTTATTTCGCTTGAAAGTGGTACATGTAAGTGATGGTAAAGTAGATTAGAGTAGTATCACACATTTCGCCAGAGTATGGCACGCAAAAATATAAAATTTAAACAATGTCATTTTACGTAAGTAATTATGTCAACAATAAAGTTATTAACATCAAATAGAACACAAATATTAGATATGAATAAAGTCACCGAGTATGTAGTCAAAAATTAGAATATAAATATCAAGGTTACAACAACTTCCCTTATTTAAAATAATTAAAATAATCGTCCATCACTTCTGTAGTGCGTTGCAAATGCGATTAACGCGCACTAGTAGCGATTCTGTCGCCGTGGGCGAGGGCCCATAATAACTCGCCAGTGCTGCAGTAGCGCCAACCAGTGAATGCATACTGCATTTCCTCATTCCGTCAATAAGCATAATAGAGATCAATGTAATTTTAAATAATTGATTAATGATTAAATATACGCTATATTCCAGGGCGACTCGGGCAGCGAGTCGTCGCCAATTCGACTGAAGGACTTCAAAGGGCAGAACCACAAGGCCGGCCCCCACGAGCGAGACAGCCTGGTCTCGTAGCCGCCCGGGCTCGCCTACAATATTAGAGCGCAATAATGATTCAAACATTAATAATTTTAACATATCATTGGGCGATTGTGACTGCTTGTTGAATAGATTTTCATTTAGTAGGGTTATAAATATTGTAAAAAAATATTACATAATGTAATAATCGTTCATTCCAATCGAAAAGTTGAAGATACCTATTTGTTAAGTTTTTTTACGTGCAATTATTAATTGCTAATTCTAATTTAAGCGATATAGTTTGTACAGCATAGTTGATGAAAAAGAAGCAATTATTAAAATTAAAGATTTTCTGAAATTGTTATGACTTCTCTTTGATTTACCTTGTCTATGGGTGAAGTGAAACACGGCAGTAGTCAACAATGATATTTATTTGGAAGCTAAATTCTTTCTTCATAATAGTCATGTACTAAAGTGTAGAGTAGAAATATAACATAAATTTATATTCAATATTACTTAGGAGAGTGCTAGTGTTAAAAAGATCACAGGCCGCGGAGCCTCGATATCTAGCAAAAATACACAAAATATTAATTCAACATTTTAAACCAAGTGCACAATATGAAAATATTTCCAATTAGGACAATATCACAAATACAAAATCAATGGAATAATAAAATAATTTATTGTGGTCCAAAAATAATACTCATTTATTATAAAAACACTTAACAATAATTTAATTAATACTTGACTAAGAATAAAATATGGATAATGAGTAAGTAATAATAACAAATGATGAAATACTTTGGTTTACAATGAGTAACGAATAGGCCTCTACGTACATAAGTAAGGTTCAGTGCAGAAACAAGTTCATAGCGGAGTAGCTAAAATGGACCAGGATTTTTAACATAATTTTTAATTATTATCTATTACAATGAAAATATTTCACTTCGTCACACTATTGATGTAGGTATAAATTTGAATAAATTAGTATTAATTTAATGTTTATCTGTAAAATTACATCTTATACTGAACACACAGGCACCTTACTTTAATTTTCTTGGCAGTTATACATGGCACACAATACTGTCTTTACAATATTTCTGCAATTCTCTTACATTTGTTACAACTTTCAATGTTACATTTACAGGCAAATGAGATGTCAATTACAATATTCGTAAAACATGAAAATGTACTTTGTGTACTCATTTACAATTTAAAGCTTCGAGTACTAATAATTATCACAAAACACCATCTTAGAATTGGAGTAGCGAGTTGAGTATCTAATAGGGTGACGTATACGCGAACGTTCAGAATGCGGTAAACAATTATTAATCTGCCGCTGAAAAGGGTAAGTAGGACTGTTTTCGTGCGTTAAAATAAAATACCTTAAAATTTAAATTGCGACAATGACTGCACAAACACTGCACCTCTAAGTTATGTGAGAACTTACGATAATGTAGCAAATAGTGAAAAATTATAACGGTGAAGAGATTTTTTTGGGATACATTGATCTACAACAAAGAATTTCGTAAGTTAATTCGGAAGAAAAATAAAAGGATTTGTTGTATTTTAACTTAATAACTAAATCATTAAAAAATAATACATTATGAAACGTGTATTACTGTGTGAAGTAGTTAAATAATATGTGACTCACATTCACTAATAGTTGATGGTGATAAAATACAGAAATTATTAGGTTTCATTCTTTGGCTATTGTTATAATGTTTTATGAAAAATAAAGTAACAATGAATGATTACGAGTAAAATAATGAATTGAAATATAATTCGTTTGTTATAATTGCGTCTTGGATTGTCAAGTTTAATAACAACGACAATAACGTCTGCGTCATCGACGATTATAATTTGTTTCGATCACCATCAACTGAACTAAATTAACACTAAATACTAATTTCAATTGACTTTTGCACGATACCCCATGCTCACATCGAACATTAGTCATCCAAAAACCAACGTAAAGGCGGATACATAATATCATGCTATACATATTTCCCTCACTAAGCCAATCGATGTATGTACAACAATAAAATTGCGAAGAGACCATTTATAAAATTATTTGTCGCTAAAAGATGAAGAGATCGCGATGCATAAAATTTTGTTCTTCTGCTCTTAGTTTTTTACATTAATTATCAGTAATAACATTTACATGAACGAACAAAATCGATATATTTTGTAAAAATCGATTTCATAAGACAATCCAAAACGTCGACTAACGTATATTCATGAAGAAGTGCATTTCTGCACACATCACCTCGACCCTTTCCGAGTATGTCAGTCAATCAAACATGGTCCATATGCCGTGGACAATACGTTCACGATTCATTTGCGAGGTACAATACCACTTCAACCAGGGTCCTAATTGTTTAACTCAATATCTATTACGATTACGACTGATTGTATTGTGGCAATCTGATACACCCATCATAAAAAGTCGGAATTCACAAATATAGGTATTGCCACCTTAAGTAGTAGAAGACTAGTAGGTGTTATTTTGCAACGAAAATGACAATATGTACAATTTAAACTGAATGCAATATAGATACTGAGTTACACAATTAGGGAGCAGCTTATAATGTATTCTGTACGTTCCCGTGCAGTGTACATCCTATAGTCACTTATTACTTTCCATAAATTCGTGTGCTACGATTTACACCGATAATAACTGAAGTGGACGCGAGTCGTGAGTAGCTATCAAATATCGTTCACTTCAAACAAACTGGCGAACTGACAAAGGATTACACAAGTTCTTGTACTATGTCCTGTTCACGTTTATTTAAACCTAGAGTAACTTATTTGTCATAAAATTCTTATGTCATCGTCGTGTATGCCGTGTCATCCTTTGGTATATGTTTTGTAATTCATTTGCGCCAATTTGTTTAAGAAAACCACATAGGGTGAAGTATCAGTGATTGGACAGATCCTAAACTATGAGAAAACAAGCTTTAAATGCCCAAAGACGACTTAGTTTCGGATTTGTTCTACCACATACAGTTGAATCACCCTGTATAATGTTTATACTGATTTCGGCTCCCAGGGTCACCTGTTGAATATTGATTTCTATGTTTAATAAGGCGTTTAATTCGAAAGAATAATAATATATCACATAATCTAGTTAATGCTTTTCTCGTTCACGTTGCCTCTGAGAGCCGAAGTTGAGTATCACCGATGATTAGTGTTGGTAATGACGTCATAGTGAGTGACGTGGCAGTGACTTGCCATGCAAACATTGCAGAGGACATCTCATACGATATTAAAATAGAATAATTAATATAATATAATTTACTGTTATTAGTCTTATTTTGTCGATCATGGCCATAGTCTATAAGTAGCAACAACCTGTAAAGGTCTGTTCTTATTGCAGTTTAAAAATATACATTATCACGTCATAGAGAAGTCACTATCACCTCGCTCACTCGAAAGCTTTCACTACGCCGACATTACCTTTATATCTTGAAACAATTACACACACATCTCCGTCATACTTACCAATAACGTGGCAGAATAACAGAGATGCGAGTGCAAAAAGTTTCACTGTCATGATCATGATTTCCAGGTATGCCGGCGTAAGTGTAGGGTCATGTCGCTTGTTTCCGTCCATATAATTATTAGTATTAAAACGACGAATCAATCTTTGGAACAGTTGGAAAATACCTGTCACATCCAGGCATTTATAGAAGGCTTTAGGTAATTTTCACTGTTTTAGTAATGTGTGAGTAGTTTAACGAGTGATCCGTCGTTTAGATGCTAATAAGTAGGTGGTCGCAAACAGGGTGTTATGACCCTAAGTCGTGTGTGGACTACCTGTGCCAAGCTATGGTTAGTGCGGTGCGCAGTTTGCCCCACAGCCACGGGTAAAGTCCGCCGCCTCGCCAGGCCGCTCGCGCTACATACTTCACGTAGTCGTAGAGACCCCACGGTGCATGGCCCCCATTCACGTAGTAGACGTACGTGAACCCGTCTTTGCAGCGGCCCTTTATTGAGTAGTAGTAAGGCAGAAACGAGTGGAGGCGGAATCTGAAATGAGAGTGATCAGGTGTAAGATTAAAAGGTGGAATAAAAAAAAAGGTAGTAATATTTTAGGACAGGACAAAATAAACTGAGGCAGAGTGATACAATTTTAACTAGTGAAGGTCCCACGGTACTTACTTACGCAGCCACTTTGTATGACCACTGCATATTTTAGAAGTATTTTTTTAAGCAGAAGAAGGCAGGTATTTGACCCCCATTGCACTTGATGTTAAGTGAGTAGCAGTCTAGGGTGGTACAAATCAGGGGGCCTAGTGTGAGTTTACATCAAACCTATTCGATATCGAGTACGTCACAAAAATCTATGAAGATTTTAGTTCTTCAAAGTATCCGCTAGGGGCGCTGTATAATCCGTCGTACATTTAATGTCTTGTTTTTTACGCAGTTACTAGTGAAGACGTTTGATTTAAACTCGCACTAAGCCTTCTGACCAGTAATTCCCATAATATCTGGCTCAACCAGGAGAGGACCTTTCGAAAAACGCAATCATTATTCTTTTTGGACAATTGAATCAGACTTAACAAAAAGTAATGTCGTAAAATAGAAACGTCTGGTCATTTTCTCATTTAGCTCCGCTCAGAAAGCCATAATATCAGTAGTAAGATCTGTTTACGAACTCAGATATCGTTTATCACTGTTACGGAAATGTATTGATACTACTGATTAGATTATGTTTCATTTGTACACTTGAAATTCTGTGACCTAATTTTTATATGTTAGATACTATGTTATGATAGCTTTTCTAAGAAATTTTAGTTTCTTTTTACATGGCATAAAACATCTATCTATATCCAAATGAATTAATCGTTTATTTAAAATTGGATTGTTGACGCCCATTAACAAGTAATATCACACAAATCATTTCTTTAAAAAACATTTCATTCTAGCCCTGAAAACCTTACAATTAGATCTTTAGTAATTTCGAGACCAATAAATTGTCAGTTAATTGAGTTCACGACCTAACGTATAAAGTATGTCAATTGACTAGGTGTCCACTGCCCTATTGGAGCGAGCTATGGACGCGGTGTTAGCGCAATCAATGTAATTTCTCTAAACGTTCTTCTAAAAGTCTAGCAGCGCAGGTAGCTAACGCACTTTTGTAACAATCGCATCGGAGGCGTTTGAAAAAGACGCGGTAAAAAAAAACAAGAAAATAATCTGTAATCTATGAAACGTGGTCACCGCAAGCAAACTTGGGGGCGCACTGAAGCAGACGAGGCGAAGAAAATCGGCAAAACCTGGAGCGAGATCAAACGCGAAGCTCAAGATCGAACGCGATGGAGGACTGTTATGGAGCCCTCTGCCCCATCTAGGGGACGTAGGACCTTAAGTCAAGTAGGCTATGAAAGAGCACTTTGAAGTTTTGAAACAAGTATTACCAGGCCTGTTCATCTCCGCGAGTTTACATCAAAAACAAAACACGCATGATGGCCCACCTACAGGATACTATTCGAAAAGGCCTCACATACGAGCGAACATTGACTCACGCACACGTATTCTTGTGTATGGTGGAAGAAAATAAAGAAATGGTGTACTAAATACTGTGCAGTATTTAACTGCCTAAATAATAATAAAAACACAGAATGTACTTTTTAAGTTGCCTCAAGACACTGAGAGGTAAATAAGTAGTTAATATTATTCATGATAATTCATGCTAAATCATGTATTTTCTCCGCCATTTTCCGCAGTTTAGCACCTCACGTCACATCATTTTACCGAAGTCAGCCCTATAGCTTCGGCGCAGTGCCGATCACTGACGTTTGTCAACAAAATGGTGCTTGACTCTAGAGACAGGCTAAATTACACCATATTGTTAATGACCTTGAGCATACATTTTTTTAAATACCTTCGCGAAGTAAAACTTCTGTACGTAGTACTTATTATTATTCTGTGGTATTACCACCTACCTNAGTGACCTAATTTTTATATGTTAGATACTATGTTAAGATAGCTTTTCTAAGAAATTTTAGTTTCTTTTTACATGGCATAAAACATCTATCTATATCCAAATGAATTAATTATTTTATTAAAATTGGATTGTCGACTTCCATTAACAAGAAATATCAATCAAATCACTTCTTTAAAAATCATTTCATTCTAGCCCTGAAAACCCAGTGAAATTAGATCTTTAGTAATTTCGAGACCAATAAATTGTCAGTTAATTGAGTTCACGACCTAACGACGTCATATCATTAAAAGTATGTCAATTGACTAGGTGTCCACTGCTCTATTGAAACGTGCTATGGACGCGGTGTTAGCGCAATCAATGTAATTTCTCTAAACGTTCTTCTAAAAGTCTAGCAGCGCAGGTAGCTAAGGCACTTTTGTAGAACTCACATCGGGGGCTTATGAAAAACACGCAGCAAAAAAAGAATCTGGAAGTAGGCTATGAAAGAGCACTTTGAAGTTTTGAAACAAGTAGGTATAGTTGAACGATTTTGAAACGTCAAATGGCAAAGATCGGAAATAGGAAATAGTAACTCGGCATTGATGGCAGCGCCCTCCTGCAATAACATTCCAGTGTTTTCCAACATGGCAAAAATCGGAACCAGCGATCCGATATTGACGGTGGCGCCCCCGTCAATGTCACAGGTGAGACGGTTCAGTGTAGTTAATCTATATTGGCACCTACCTTCTCTTTTCATAGAAGAGTATCGCCTCCGAGTTGGTGGTTAGCACGTGCAGGAATATGGCCTTGACCCGGTGCTCGTGCGGCGGCTGCGGGATGGAGCCCGACAGGTGGTTGATCAGCACGTCGAGCAGCATCGTCGCCACGCCCGAGCGCCGGTACGAGCGAACTACGCCTTTAATGAGAGAGAGGGAAGGTTTAAAATTGGTTAGTACAGTTAATAATTTATTTGGGAACGAGTTACTAATATTACCGTAGCTAATATGATGCTTGCTTTAGAAGTGGAACCCACTCAATCCGGCTACAGAGATCGGGCTAGCGAATCCAATGCCGAAACCCTTACGTTACTGTACTGAGGTATAATATCAGGATTATCAGGTAAAGAATTTTTGTTCAGACACATTCTGTACCTTTTATTTTAGGTAACAGAATTTGCACTGTTGAGGATAATTTTGAAAAACCTCTAAAACTTAGTCACAACAATTAGTAAACTACTTTTTTCCTCTTTGATGGAAATAATTTAGTAAGCATTTTCATTAGTCAGTGCAATAAATTATGATGACACGAGGCAAATCGTTAAATTAAGCATAAATTATGAGTTAAAACTATAATTTAATGCTTTATGAGTTAAAACTATAATTGAATGCTTTAAAGTTTGCGCAGCTATTCCTTATCGCCAGAACATTTGATAAGTACTAAACTGCCAACGTAAGAGGAATATGTTTTTTCGCATTGTTTTATCTGCATTACTAACCAGACAAATAAAGTTATCTGTGTCATAAAATGAATCTTTACCTAAAGAGAGTATGTACGCAACAAGCGTGTCCTTTGACGCGAACCATCTCGACAATATCCCTCTGTCTTCTGCGTTCAGTTTTAGATAAGGCTTGATCTCGGCAACAATTAGGCCGATGATCTGTGATTTGTACACGGCGGCGAGCGCAAAGAATCTCTCTGACGATGTTATGTCTTCATACCATGACTGCGGATATTCTATGGGAAACCAGTCTCTGCATAGCGATCGAACCTATAACAGAAATATGATGATGTAGCATCAGTATGATTTTAATGTTTTGTAATATTAATTTAGTTAACTTTTAATAACTTTCATACCTCTTCCAAATCATCAGGGCACAAGAAACGCAATTGTACGTCTTTTAGAGAGCATTTCGCTTCTTTCGACTTTTCAATTATCACTTGGAAGCCTTCAGACAGGTACCTGTTATAAGCAGAATAGATAAAAATTAATAACAATTCAGTTGACCAGACTTGGACATACATATATTAATCAGGTATAAAATTTACTACGTCTCAAATCACACTTTCTGTAATACTGTATCATTGTTGTTAGAAGAGGACTTTTCCTATAAGTTTTTTTGATGATTTTTAATTATAATTATGAAGGCAGAAAATTATGTACTTTTTTATTAATGGATCTGCTAACTGTACCAGCACGTAAAAGGTAAGCAAAGTTAAGGGTATTATTTAGACAAAGTATTATTCATAATGGATTACAATTCGCAAAGCTTTAAGTGAAGCTCTTTGCATTGTAAGTAGCCATGAAAAAAATCTAAAAGGAGGGATAGCAATTTTCACAGAAATACTGTAACCTCTAAATAATCTTAAATGTACCAGAATGAGTTGAATAAAATGGAGTTGTTTATCTTCATTTAAAAGCAAAAAACATATTTTTGTACGTACATCTAGTACATATTTTGAAAAAATATACATCAGATTCCTCTAAAACAGTGTTTTTCAACCTTTTTATGACGCGACCCCCCTAGTATGAAAAAATTTTTTGCGACCCCTCGACCGTTCGCTTTTTTTTCATGCCTTTTACAAAGATGTTGTAGGGACCAAATTCTTCAATCTATACAACATTTGTGCATTTGCATAATTAGGTTTAGAATAAATCTAGCTTTAAAACTTCTCTGATTTTTTACTGAGGTAGTTTTTAACACTGCTCTATGATGCTGCAGACAAGAGTTATCCCAAAATCATACTTTTACAAATGAAATAGAGGAAGGGCTACTACTTGTATTAGGATTAGTTTTTTCAATATTACATTTTTTAAGCTGTCTGGGGAAAAAAGTTTGCTCACCCTTAGAATAGAATTAACTTTAAAGTTTCAGATAATATGCTGGGATTGGAAGTTGCATATTTTTTACTTATTATTGAAACCTGTTTTGCAATAATTATGATGAGAAATTGATGAAAGGAGTCATTTGAGGTATTGTTAAGTGGATAATAAATATCTAGAGCATCAAACTACTTTCCTTCTCAAAAATTTGTTAGCCACAACAAAAAAATCTGCCCTATGATGGTTCATAAAATACAATAGCTTAGTATTAAGATTCAAACGAAAGAAAAATAATTTTAGTATGGAATGAGTTTACTTTTAACTTTGGCAGAATGTTGGATGTTTTATGACCTGCACTGATTGTATGGTAGTACCATTCAACCACCGACTGCGAAACTCTGGTTCTAAATTTAATAACTCGTAAACTTCGTTGGCCGAGTTGACAACACAATAGTTTCGCAATGTTACTTACAAATAGGATACATGTATGTTATAACAATTAACAACCACTTGTTATATAGTTTACTAACTACCTTACAATATATTGAACACATTGGCTCGTCAATTGGGTAATTCCATCCAATTAAACAGCTCATACAAGGCAATCTATACAAAATACCAAGCCCCGTTGCATCGGGTCTCATTCAATTTCATTGCTAAAGTATTACTCACCAGCTGAACCCAGCCATTCGGTAGTTTGGCCATTAATGCTGTCTCTAAATACTCTTCACTACTAAACTTTGACCATTTCCGAAAAAAAATAGAATTCTCAAAATAATGAAAACTATTCACTACGGTACGTACAATTCAATTGATAACATTTCCTTCAAGCAAGACAAGATTAACTGAAATGACACTAATGACAAACTGTTGACGCTGACAGAATAATGACACTGACGTTTTGTCTGTCAGGGCTTGTTCTTAGTTGATGTTTATTTTACTACGAACAAATGAATATACATTGAGACACAGATAATATAATTGAGATTACGAAATAATTTAAAATTTAAATGCAGAGTACTTTTATTCATATTTTGATGCGTCACGGAGTGAAGGAACTACATACAAATAACACAGACCGGGGTGAAGTGATTTCAGAGCCCCGATTACGGTAACTTTTAACGTCTACAATCCGGACACGCTTCATCGACGCTGCGATACGATTGGTCGAAACAGCTGACGTACGCTGTTGAACGACCAATCGTATCGCAGAATCGAGAAGCGTGTCTGGATTGTAAACGTTAAAAGTTACCGTAATCGGGGCTCTGGATTACAACTGTCACGATTTGCAACTTGCGTCGATTAAAACTTCTGATAGACATTTATGTCCCAAATTCACCACGCTTAAGTTGTTTTATCATGATGCTATATTACTGTTACCACAGTGATAAGCAACGATATGAAATTAATGATCAAAACATAAAAAGGAACAGAATTTTACTATTGCCATGAAAAAAAAACATAACAGTGTTGCCATTTGACTGAATCTGAAATTAAAATAATCCGTAACGTTATCGAGTTAAAGAAAATATCGTCACCGTCGTGGCAGAATTAAATAACTGACACTTTTGGCAAAAATCACTTTTTCCACTTTTTGTATAGTAGAAAGTGTTACCTATATTTTGGTCTTACTCTCGTGGCAATATCTATGATATTTCCAAAGATATCTTCAGTTTAGTGAAACTATTGACCATAAATTACAACTCTGTTTGTTGTAAAATTTACCTGGCAAAACTGAATAAGTGACTTTATTTAATTCTGCCACAACTCACTGCAAAACATTGCTTCAAAATACTTGTACTAAGAAAGTCAATAAGTGACTTTATTTAATTCTGCCACAACTCAATCCGAAACATTGCTTCAAAATACTCGTACAAATTGTGTTTTTGATTTATTTCATTTTTGTAACATTACTTTAAATGTTACTTTTAATTTCAATGTTCATTACTCAGATGTTGAACCTTCATCATCATCATCATTTCAGCCATATAGGACGTCCACTGCCGAACATAGGCCTCCCCAATGATTTCCAATATGACCGGCTGGTAGCGGTCTGCATCCAGTGCTTTCCTGCTACCTTTATGAAGTCCACGTTGTGCTTTTCGGTACGTGCCCTCCACTCCAGAACCTTGCTGCCCCATCGTCTGTCAGTTCTGCGTAATAATGTGCCCTGTCTCTTGTACAGAAAAACTGAGCATAGCCCTCTTCAAAGCACGCTGTGCAACTTGAGTAAGAGGCCGCGTTCCCGAGCCGTCATCAGTGGCAACACATACAGATTGTAGATTTTTGTCTTTAGGCACTGAGATATTTTGGACGAAAGGATGTTGTGTAGTTTCCCGAATGCTACCCAGCCGAGTTGGATTCGACCTCTTTCTCTACTTAGCTGAAACGTTTGTCCGAGGTAGACATACTTGTCAACAATCTCAAGATTCGAGCTCCTAACCAACAAAAGCTTCGTTTTTCCATGTTGTTCACCCGAAGGCCTACCTTTTGGGAACCTTTACATGAACGTGATATAATGCTTAATTCAATACAACATACATCTGTTTCCGCAATTTATTACACCGATCTTGTCGCGACAAGGAAAAATTTCCGTGCTTTTAAGCGATTTTGTGAAAAATATTATTGGCAGGTAGTTGCTAATTGCTCATAAGATAGGCCCCCTTAATTTAATTTATTGTCCGTGGTGCATAATCTTTTCTTAAAGGTTTTAAACCTTTGTTTGTCACCTGTCATCCGCTTTGCAATGGAGGGAAGTCGAACCTTAATTTCGAACTCCTCCTATGTTCTTCTGATTAATTTCGTTGCGGGTCCAATGACAGTTTAACTTTCCCCCGGGACAAACTTGACCTTCATTGGTTGGGTTTTTGTGGCGGTCAAGCTGTAGATCCTGGCTACACAGGAGTTGCAGTGGTGGGAACGAGAGGTGGGAATAGTCCCGTACCTTTTGGGAGACTAAGGTCTTCGAGCATTGTGCCGAGGTCTTCCAGTGATTTTGCCATGACCACACAATATCGTCGGCAAACCGAAGCTGAATGATGTACTCGTCGTTGATGTTTGTGCCGAATCCTTTCTATTCAAGGAGTTTGAAAGCGTCTTCCAATGCAGCGGTGAATAGTTTCGGAGATCCGGAGATATAACATCTCCCTCATGCCTCGCTGCAGAGGAATCGCCCTCGTACTCCACTCCTGTACTCGGACCAACATGGTGGCGTTTCTGTACAAGCACTTCTGCACCTCGATATGTACCGACACTTTTCAGAAACCGGCTTGTTCGGGAGGCTAGAAGTCATCGAACCTACGCGCGAGATCATTCGTGATAACTTTCGCAAACAGCTTGTAGACATGACTCAGAAGCGAGATGGGTCAGTAATTCTTCAGCAAGGTTTTATCCCCTTTCTTGAAGAAGAGTACCACCACGCTTCTGTTCCATGCCTCTGGCGTTGTTCCCTGGAGTAAGACGAAGTTAAATAGTCTCTGAAGGACCGAGGTTATCCCGTCATGACCCAGTGCTTTGTTGTTCTTTAGGTGTTTGAGAGCCATCCTAATCTCGTATAGGCTGATAATGCTGATATCCACAATATCTTCGTCGAGGTATATAGCTGTCCATAAAACTTTTCAATCTCACCCAGAACCTCGGCTTTTGTTGGCGTTACACTACCTTCCGCAGTCTTCAGCTTCGTCAGCTAGCTTCGCCCAATAGAGTTGTCTCTAGCGAACACTTTCGAGCCTTGGTTCCGCTCTATCGCCTCTTTAATACTATTTGTATTAAAGTTGCGAACATCATGTCGCAAGGACTTCCATATCTGTCTATTGAGCTGCCGATGTGCCTTAGCGTCAACGGAGATCTGCAGTGACATTGAACGTCGTTCTGCCATGACGTTGAGGGTAAGGGATCCCTATGGATCCCTAGGGAGATATCCCTATTACAGTTTTATTGTTTTTGGATTATTTTAATTTTGATATTCATTTTGATGTTGGTTCTTTCAATTTAATTTCAATGTTATAGGAATCTGATGTTGATGGTTACCATACCAATTTGTTAAACATTTATAAGTATTTAATAAGTAGGTATATTCTAGTATTATTTAACAATTTTACAGATTTTGACTAAAATCGCATTAACAAAACAAATAAAATAAAATGAATAAATCAACATTTAGGTCAATAAAAGTGTGGCAAAATTAAACAAGTGTACTTATTCAATGGAAATATTCGTTTTTGTAATACCTTGGTTGTGGCAAAACTAAATAAGTGACATGCAAAAACTAAATAACTGCAACTTAGTTGTAAAATACGGTTGTGGCAAAACTAAATAATTACATTTTTATTTTTTTTATTTAAAATAATACAAAATAACATCATTGAAGAATATTGATTTAATAAAGGTAAATTTGCTGTATAAAATATCAAAAGACCGACAGTAAAATATTTTTACCCTTAAAAGTTATCGCCATTTTTAACGAAAAAAATCACAAAAACGTGAATATCTCGCAACTTTGGTTTTGTCAGTTATTTAATTCTGCCACGACGGTGACGATATGTTGCATTTGTATAATTTATAGTAATGGAATGATATCCCATTGAAAAGCATAATGCCATATTAAGCTTTTGTAGGTCTATCTTTACCAAGGCCGAATTCCTCAAATTATGGCAGTTTACTATTTCAGCCTAGATTTCAGTCTAGATTCTAGCATGTACCCAGTACTTTGCGTATGTATGTTATACCCAGGGATAACATTATTATGTCGCGACCTAAAAAATGTTATACCTACTTACCTGTCTAGCACACAGCATGCTAATGTTGCTTTGCCTACTTTTTGCCCGAAGTCTATTGAGCCTTTGAAATTGCACATATTATCATAACGATGCGTTACAAACGTAGGTACCATTACCTACTCCACTATAATTCAATTCATAAGTATGTAAGTAATTTCATTTAAAATCCAATGGGCACGAAAGCTTTATTCCACATGTTGAGCTGGCCGAAGCGGGCGCAGGATTTGATTTCCCAACGATGTACGCCAGACGCACGGTGTCGCCTTACAAGGCAATGGTTCTCAATATGATAGCAATGGATAGGTAAGTACAGAGTAGACGAAGCAGGAATGTTTACAAAATTAAATTAATAATTAATTTATTGTTAGTTTTATAGTAAGTAGGTTAGGTACTTACTTACATTATTATTTTGTGGTTTTATGTCTCTCGTATCTAATTTTAATGATACTTAGTTCTAACATGGATGTTCTAATATGCATTCTTCTCTAAATAGGTAACGTGACCACAAGTATGTACATGTAAGGGCTGCAGAAAGTTGCTCACAATTAAGAAAAGTTCTAGCAGTTTCTCAAATTTGTGGACAGTGCTAGCTACGAAGTCTTACCTAACTAGACAGGAACAGTTTTAATGGTAATATTTTAAATCGCTATATGTTGAATTAAACGTTAAGCCTGTTAATGTTGAATGCTCCAACGTTTTGAGAACCTCTGATTCATCAGCTATCTGCGCAGGAGCGGCAACAGATGAGATTTCACACGAACTGTCTCGCTGATGCCACTTGAAGTAGAACTGATACTCCCCACTTGTCTTCAGCTGGACTTGGGAATAAGCCTGGATGCAATCACTTACTTAGTTTGCCAAATTATTTTTTCTGAAAGAATTGTAATAAAGGAAGGAGTACCTACGAGGGCTGCACTAAAAGTATCGGGAATGGAATATTTCCACTGTTCCAGTCATATTAAAATCTATTTAATTACAAACTCCAGGGTTTTAAAAATCGTATACCATTTATTTATTTAAAAAAAGATTCTCGGTCGTATCACAAGGTCTTGTCAAACTTGTTTAGTCGTTGAGAAAATGGAATTGACTCGAGAAAATTCAAGAGCGATGATTTATTATGACTTTTGAAGTGGTTTAACACAAAAACAGTGTGTTGACCGGATGATTTCTGCATTTGGTAATGAAGCCCCATCCAAAACCACAATTTATCGCTGGTTTCCTGAATTTCAACGTGGACGTGTCAAGCTCAGTGATGATCCCCGTCAAGGTCGTCCAAAAACTGCAGTCACCTAAGAAAACGTTGATGCTGTGCGTAAGCTGATTGAAGAAGATCGACATGTGATATACCGCGAAATTCAGGCAACTTTAGACATTGGCATGAGTCAAATACAAATAATCTTGCATGAACAATTAGGTGTAAAAAAGTTGTTTTCCCGATGGATACCGCATTCGCTCTGTGAAGAGCAAAAAGCGGCTCGCGTTACTTGGTGCGTCAGAACTCTCGGGAGATTACATGCAGGATCCTCAAATGCTGTATACAACATCGTATCAGGTGACGAATCATGGATATATGCGTACGAACCCGAAACAAAAAACCAGTCACGAGTTTGGGTGTTCGAAAATGAATTAAAGCCAACAAAAATTGTTCGTTCACGGAGTGTTGCAAAAGAAATGGTGGCCACCGTTGTCTCCAAAACCGGCCATGTTGCGACTATTCCTCTTGGGGGACAAAGAATGGTTAATGCAGATTAGTATGCTAGCATTTGTTTGCCACAGGTCGTTTCTGAACTCCGTAAAGAGAACTGCAACCGCCGCATCATCCTCCATCACGAAAATGCGAGTTCTCACACCGCGCACTGAACAAAAGAGTTTTTAGAGCAAGAAAACATAGAATTATTAGTCCATCCGCCGTACAGCCCCGACCTAAGCCCTAATGATTTCCATACTTTCCCTAAAATAAAGAATAAATTGCGTGGTCAGAGATTTTCATCACCTGAAGAAGCTGTGGAAGCCTACAAAACGGCCATTTTGGAGACCCAAACTTCCGAATGAAATGGTTGCTTCAATGAATGGTTTCGTGTATGGAAAAATGTGTCAAATTTCGCGGAGAATACTTTAAAAAGCAATAAATACATTTTTAAATAGTAATGTTGTTTCACTTCCTTGATTCCCGAAATTTTCAGTGCCGCCCTCGTATATGTAATATAGTTGTAGAGTAGGTACCTCTTAGTTCAGTTGAAGTTGACCTAAGTACTTACTTAGTTGAAGGAACAAACGAGAATAGCCGAATTAGAATCATAGGCCTTTTAATTTTCTTTACTCAGAAAAATATTATAAAAATCAGCATAAGATCAATGCAATGCAATATTTATCTACATATACAGACCTAAGAAGGTCTGCTGGGAACGTATACCACTTACTGTCTTCCGTTAGACCTTCATCAAATAAAGATGTCAAACTAAAACAGCAGCAGATTAAAGCGTAAAATTACGCGTTACCCTCCGCCCCAGTAATTAATATCTTATGTGTTGTAGCACAAAAACTTCGGAGTTACACGATATGTCCGTCGGGCGGGCGGCCGTATGTGAAACGCGAGTCGCCGGCGCACGCGCCGCTCGGCTCATTTGCGCTCAATTTTAATATTGCAGCCCACGATGCACCATTACGATATCATAACAAGAGCTTTTTACGTTTTTGCTTCTAGTGAAGTTTGGCTTTTGACTCACCGATCTCTGAAACGGTGACTAATGTTGTTAATGATTTGGCGACGGTCTAATTGACAGTTTTCCTCAGTTATGATTTACAGTTTTGTAAGGCGTCGCCTTTTTTTTAGATAATCTTCAGTCAGTGAGATGCTCACGTCTATCTTGCTTGGTGGAAAACTGGAAACCTTAACCAGCTGAGCTGAGCTGAAGCACGTGTACTTACCTACTACCTACTTACTTACTTTTTACAAGTTACTTATCTCGTCTCTACGTTTACCGCCACTGGTAATTTTTAAGGTTCTTCCTACTTCTTAATTGTTCATCATTACTTATGGCTTTTCAGAAAAGTCCCCCACACTAAAGTGATTGCTTCTGTTTTATACCACTACAGGTAAAGCTTTTGGCCTGCATGATATGCATCTCGCCTGATGTAAAATAATGATAAAGGCATGGAAGCTTTTCTGTTTGGCTTTTTGTGCAAGTTACCAAACAAGTAGCTGGTGGATGTTACGACGCATGTAGATCACGTTATCATCCGCCGGCACATCAGAGGCATGATAAATCATCATTCGAGCATAAATTCACGTGAAGTCGCGTAATTACATAATCTGCCGATATGTTTATTGCACTCATTAGTCGCGAAAATGTGAGAGTGATAAGATAGAGGGTCGAACAAGGAGGCTCTGTGCGCCTGCGCCGGCGGGCGCAGGAAGCGCGGGCGGTTAGGGGTCGCGGATTTATCGCTCATCTGAATCGAAGTGATGTGCGAGCGCTTATTTAATCGATTAAATTCCTTTTCGAGTAGAAATATGTAAATGTTATTAATCATCCTATACATAATGAATTTGCCACGCAAAACTTAGGCTGTGTTGCACCATCTTACTTTAACTTTGACAAACGTCAAAAATCTGTTAAACTCCATACAAAAAGCACCGGTTATTGTCGTAGTTACCGTTAAAATTAGGTGGTGCAACTCAGCCTTAAATCTATGTAGAATTGTAGAGTAAGCAACCATTTAGTAAGATATTGCAGAATGTTACGAAATAAGAAATAAGATAATTGTATAAATATCTAAGTTTAATAGGTATACTAAGTACTTATAATATTAAAAATACCAATTTTTTTGGAAAATTACGTAGAATCAAGAGTTTCTTATTACGACGCTTGGTAAACTTTAACTTCTTGACTTGGGATAACATTTCCAAGAACGCCATCGAACCATTCTAATTGATTCCAATACGCGATGGCTATCGTACCTATGTACAGCTTGATTTGCCATCCCCCTTACATCGAATTTTGGGATCTAGATAGGGGTACAGGCTTCGGTCTCATAGAAATCTTTAGATTTTTACATATTTCAGATAGGAAAAGTTGCATTATAAGTAGGTACTTTTAGTAAGTAGGTACCTATATTTGATGGACAGTTAGTATGTCAGAAACCTATCTGAAAATCAGAAACCAGCTTACATCTTTGACATCATTTTATTCATCGACACAGAACTAGGTAGGTGGAGTATGTAAAATGTGAAAAAGGTAATTTTTCATACCTACACAAACTTACGTGTTTCAAAAATTTTATTTATTTCTGGTGAGGTATTTCAGCGGAATAAAAGTTTACGAAAAACCTTCTGAAAGTATGGAAATATTAATACTCTTGAAAACTAAAGCTCTTGAAAATACTAGACTTAGATAAAATTAATTTATGTACATATGTATAAAGTAGCTTTGATGTGTGGAAGGGTTTCTTTCTCTGCATTTTTAACACGTTTTTATTAGGTCGTTTCGTTGTCTCTTCTTCTTTCGTACGAGTATAAGGTATTTAATACTGGGATTCGAGTAAAAGATAGTACTTTCTAGTAAAATATTTATTTTTAAATAAAGCAAAACATTAAGTATTTCCAACAAAATAATTTATCAACCATTTGTAGTCTGCATTGTCTTAAGTAATAGTGATGTACCTAGGTAGTGTACAAATATATTTACAAATAAAATAGTCCCTAAGTAATGTAACTTAAATTTTGATTAAAATATTAGGCTAAACAAAGCTTAATGAAAACAAGGATTTGTCTTGTTTCCCGATTTAACTTTAAAATTACGAGTTTCTTATAATTTAAACCTAATGAATAATTCTTTAACTTATATCTTATCAACTAGATCATCCATAAACTTCAATTTAAATCAATGGTGGCAATTCTCTAACATAATAATCATTTTTAGTTTATTTTATAGAATATTTCAATTAATTAGTTTGGTTTTATCCAATATAAATAACGTTCCTTTATCATGTTTTATTATTTATTAAATTATTTTTATGATGATGACTTTTCATAGTTTAGTGCAAAATCTAATAAGTGACTAGTAATTTATAAGATTCAAGGAATTGCAACCATTGTTTACATTTTAGTAACATAATTCTTAATTAACTTTGGATTCCATGGAGTTTAAAAATTATATTAGACATGAATCACAAGAATAATTCATAGAGATTTTAAAAATAATATAATATTTCACATGCATGGCCGTTTTCTTGTAGATGGACCGATTAAATTGTGTAATTAGTTAAGTAGTAGGTATGAGTAATCTGTCATTCGCTTTTGGAGATTTGTAGCCATCTAATTCAGAATGGTCGTGTTTTATTAAACGAATGTAACTTAACAAATAATTACAAGCCAGGAGGAACGCATTGCTGAAGTCTACGATGTATTAATAATTTTATGGCAAATGTTTGTTCATGATTACACGCACGTGCGCATCGTTCCGACTGGCGGTATGTGATATATTATACAATATAACTATACCTATTTGCGTGACCTAATTTAAAAGCTCACAAAAAAGCTATGCTCGTTCGTCATACTCGCGACGATAAAGTTTTTATTTTTTTATCACTAGATCGGGGAATTACACAACACTACGAAACACTTTACGGTTGTCCTGGATAGTTTTGCCAGTCTGCACACGAAGGGTGAAGATGTGGGGGTATTGGTGCGTAGATTGGTGGTGGGCCGTGATGAGCTAAGCTGTGCGCAGAGTATCTGTTTTGAAGTTCGTGGTATTCGGGCATATTGCCTGGTTTTAAGTACTGGTCGAGTTCTGCGCCATCTGGCGGCCCGTCCGGCAGTAGAGCTGGTGAGATCTCCGGCATGCCAGCGAAGTCAATCTGGTCTCTGTCAGGAGAGGGCTCCCGTTTCAACCGGGTGCTGGTAGGAGGCGGCTTACGGCGCCGCGGCTGGTACTTATAGTCAGGGTACTCCCGTTTATGCTGAGTGCGCAGTTTGTCTGCTTCTTTGATGAACGGCAGTTTTTGCTCTTCACTCAGACCTCTGTGGAAGAAACATTTTGAAATTAGAATAGAAAAAATCTCATTTTATTTATTCTTCCACTATTACAAGTAAAATCTAAGACCTAAATCGTTTCGACCGGAAATTAAAGTCAGGACTACGCTTGCGCCCTATTTGATTTTAATCTAGCTTATAAACCATTGGGTGTAGTTTGAAAAAGTATTCGGTTTTGGGACGCCCCGTCTAGGCCGACCGCCAGGGTAGCGATAACATCGGCTAGACTATTTCCACATTTAATTTCTCATCGTTAATTAGCTAGCATCCATTTTTAGTGACAATTAAGTCTGAAAATATGTTTTTCGTTGCCTAATATGAAATTAAAAAGTAAATGCAAATAAATAAACACCATAATCAAAGTTTTGTAATTTGGTAAACCGTTTTTTTTTATTAAGATACTAATCCTATAATATAATACGTCTATAATTCATTTATTGTAGAGATCCTGACTTGTGTGTATACGCGTATAGGATTATCTTAGTGTTGCAGAAAAACACATGTTATTGCTCACTGATTCGGCTAGACATAAAAAATAGGATCAGATTTTTGTTTTTGTTAAGTAAGTATTTGCTGAGAGATGTTGGATGGAGATAATTTTTAAGAGATGATCAGTGACCGTAACGCAGATGTCTGCGCCAGTTACTCACTGTTATAATTAGTTATATTTTAGACATCTTAGACATTTTATTTCGTCTGTTTGCGTCTTTGGAATTGTTGTAGAGTTGCTGTGATTAAGTTTGTAAAAACTATACTAATTTCATCACTGCAACTCCACTAAGTTAGCTCTACCGTAGAGCTGGTAGAAAGCCCCAATCAATTTAATAAGTAAATACGAGACTTAAGATACTAAATGATTAAGTATTTGAGTTGCACAAGGTTGAGCTAGAATGCTATCAATGCATTTTCCTGACGCAAAAAAAGGAATCTTTTTTCACACATTTTGTTACACACTTTATAATACACCTACGAGTATGTAGGTATGATTCTGCCTTCCTATAATTTGCCAACTGCATAGCGAACCAAAAAGATAGAGAAAATTTATTATTTCCTTTATATTCTTAAAAAATCCTAAATTATGGGTATTTGCTAATCTCCACCGAGTCGATGGCGCTGCGCGTGCGCTGACAGTAGAGAGGCCGGCAGATCAAAACACCAATCAGGGTCTCTTGACCGAGTGTTTTCTTAGATGATTCAAGCGTTTGACCCGCATAGCCGTGTCAGTCTGGTGTCATAGCGGGTGGCGCGTGGGTGGCCTGCATCAAGGTGTTTTAGACCATTTTAGGGTTCCTTAGTAAAGTAACCAAAATTGTTACATTCGTGTTCTTTAAGTCCTTAAGTCCAAGTAAATCCGCCTGGCTGTACAATGTACAACCAGGCGTAGAGTGTACATATAAATGTTCATTAAGCTCATAAGTTGCGAAATAAACAACTGAAAATTTTGTAAACCTTATACTGCAAATGTCGTAGCACGCGTCTCTACATTATCTTTAATGCATTTTTATAACTGACACATACTCAGTAGTGTCATCGCATTCTTTCTGAATATTGAGAGTGTCGGTGCATATTGCATAGGCATCTTTGTATTTATAGAAAAAATCTGCCGATACCAAAAATCAGTTTCGCTCTACAATTTTGATTTTCTGTCCGGCTGATCCGAATTGCTTCTCCAAAGACAGTTAGAGATGTTATCGTGTCGGTTAGCGGCGATAGCATTTTAATGAGTAAACAATCGATGCACGCGCTCGGTTGGGCGCCGCACGCGCATCCCCCCTCCCCCCTGATACTTTCTCGGTCCTCTAGATCTGGGGTGATTTGACATCAAACGTCTCATCATGATTGGGAGAGATTTGCTAAGAGATTAGCAAGCTTTACCCTGATTGTGGTGAGTAATGCCGATATATTTTACGGTCCTCTCCAGGAACTTTCATTGATGTCAATGTAGAGATGCATAAAATGGATGCAATGGATAAAAGTCCTTAGGTTTTAATCATTGCTTCGTAATAGGGACTTTACAAAGCCATCAATTCTTAAATATTAAACATTAATGGCCCTAAAGTCACTTTTAAGTAGGTGCATGTAACGAGGTCTGCTCATCACCTCAGAGCTGTGAGTCGCAAGTATGGTCCCCGTATGAACGAACGGTTACTAGCAGTTCCTTGTTTTGCTGGAACTAATTAAGTCTCTTCTACAGTGCGGGTCAAGGATATCTGTCCGTCACCTGTTCAAACACATTCTCGTGAGTCTTACTTACTTCCACATGCTGCCAAGCGACTTGCTGAGCTCTGCATTGTGCAGCGCCGGCCGCTGCTCGGAGAGGCGCCTGCGCATGGCCTGAGCGAACACCATGAAGGCATTCATAGGCCGCTTCACGTGCGCGCGCCGCATGCAGCCGCCGCCTCTGTGGATAAAGTTGCACCGGTTAGGTACTATCACTGTAGAAAGCTCGAAGACGTATCCTAACTTAACACAATACGCAACAACAGACGTAATTTATAGAGCAAGATAAGTGTAGGTGTTCGTTTCTGCTATATGACGTCCATTGCTGGACAAAAGGATTCAACTACGACCAGTCTTGCGTTGCTAGCATACATATACTTCCCGCGACCTTTACCAAATCGTCAGTCCACCCAGTGGGAGTAAAACCCTATTTATATTAAAAATTTTGATTACATTGGTTGAACCTGGTACAGTAGCAGGCACTGTTATTCTGTGGTACTGGTATTTATTGATATTTTATCAAATCCGCCTTTAGGATCTTAACATAAATAAATAATAATTTCAACACATTTGTTCACTTTCAGGCATTGATAAATAATTAATGTGTGTTTCAATTTGAAGTCGAACACGAGGGCACTTATCCGCGGCGGCACGCATTGAGCACAAAAGCTATAAATAGCTGAGGCTTAGACCCGGATTCGAACAAAAAGCTGATGTTGACATAAACAATATGAAATGCGCACTTGAGCCGGCACCGGCTCTCCTCAAATTGGTTTAGCTTTCGGCGCGCGCCCGATAATTACTAGGTAACCAAAACCATCAAGTGACGACTACAATAAAGAAAATAAATTACGACTAACCCTTTGCGTGCTGTATACTGCGCCCGCGCATGTAAACTTGTAAACAGCCGAGTGGCGCGGCCCCACGTCATTTTACGCTCGTAAACATCTCTCATTTTATCGCTCTTTTTATTTTCTAACGCGTTCGGGTTTCCTCGCGATCTGAATGCTGACAATAAATTATACTTTTTCGAACACTGACACGCCACTAAAAGTCGATCGATTTCTAACGGATTACTCTCGGGAAGCAATATGAGCACGAATAATTACCTACTGCTTCGGGGAACCGACGCGGTTTCCTTGTTTATTGGAATCATTTCTAGCAACAACGATTATTAGTTGGTATATTATGTTAGGTGAATGTTTCATGCTAGGTTCTTTGCCAAGAAAATTATGTTACCGAAGGGACAAGATAGAATTAAGTTTAAATTGCTTATTCTCCCTATGATGTCTTTAAATCTACCTTTGACTCTACTTTTGTAAAGTTATATGGGAGCTACAATTAGTGCTATAGCATAAAATAGAATAAAAGCAAATAAAGTTTTCCTCAGCCTGGAATAATGTAGGAGTAAAAAATAATCTCATGCAGGCTACCTAAGGCGGTAACGTAGGAAAGTGCTGAATTTTCCCTTGACCTATGATTTTAATCTTTCTTTTTACATACCTAATATTGAATCTTACATTCATAGCTTAATGCACTTTAAAAACCTAAAAGTTCCATAAATATCTTCTTAATATTATCTGCCTAGCTAACAATTACCGCTGTAATTATCGCTGGATCAAAACGTTTTAGAGCGTTCGTGGAGTGTAGTTTTTGTGAGCGCCAGAGGATAAGCAGGGACCTACCGCCGCGGCCATCTGCTTAGTAACTCTCTGACAATCGCACAAGAGCGTACGAAGAGTACGGACAACGGCACATCAACCTAACCAAAGTGGTTTATTCAGTTGTAATAGAGGCTACTTTGCTACAAAAATGTATACTGTTGTCGACTGTACCATATCATGTAGATTGTAGAAGCACCAACATGTGACTATTATACTTATAGCTTGATGATTTATGGATCTGCGATTGTACAACTATATTTCATGCTGTCTGTCTAGCGCGTCATATAAATTACTACTTTGAAATTAACAAATCAAAATTAAAATGAATATGTTTATAAAAATAAGAAATACTTAAAACATCATTATCATTTTAATGTCATAAAATTAAGCACACATTATTTTTTATAATGTAGAGTTATCTAATATCTTATTCTATAGGTAATCATTCATCAGTCTAAAGAAAACTAACCAATCTCCAATTGAAAATAACTGACAAGCTATTAATATTATAGGTATTTTAACACAAAAACTTTATAGTTTTATGGTTTTCTGCCCCAATTTAAGTCTCGAATAGAAAGGGGAGGGTGGGAAATATTATAGAGATATTTTAAGGCAGAGTTATATTAAGAAGTTAACTGTGATTGATAGCTCTACAATTTTTTAAGTAATAACTTCTTACCCAGTAAGATATTTAATGATTAGTTTATTTATTGACTTCCTTCAATTTATTGGTGAAAAATGTTCTGAATATTACAAACTCTACAATCCAGCTATTAATAACTAGATACGAGTAGACTCTAGGTACATTATTAAAATTGACACCTCAACTATTTTCAGCACTAAGAAGCAGGCTTTTATACCTAACTTCAATAAATCGTCTACAATTCGTGATGAATTGTACAACATGGCTACTACTTGTATTCTTTGTTTCTAACGTCACGTACGAAATAGAGACGGGAGCGTACTTATTGGTGCTAAACAATTTGGGCCTACAAACGTTCGGGCCTTTGTTATGGTAGCCTCAGCAATACAATTTTCGTCAGTAGGTATAATAATACCAGGAACTATTAATATGTGATGGATAGTTATAAACAAAGGTAGGGTTACATAATGTGTGTAACTATTGTACTATGCCTACCTACTTGTTGTTGTCGAAATAATTTTGACCGTATTAATTATTACTTTTAACTACTGCGAGTGCGACGTAATGTCTAATTGTATAGTAAATATCCTTAAAGTATGCAACGCTACTACTAACTTAACATTTCAATATACAGCATACTTACTTAGTGCACAGAAACGGCAAAATATTACACAAATATTTGTTGCATATGAGATTGATGGGCATTCTGCATTGTTAACATCTAGGTAAATCTTTTGTAAGTAATCTAAAGTGTAAATTGATCGGCTAATCTTCACTAGCAGAATTTGTCTAATGACAATAATTTATTAGCCTGCTGATTCTACCAATTTAAGAGTGCAACCTAAAGAAGCTATCCACAATTGGCTGAGGAAGTCATTAACCGTTGTTAATGTGAAAGTTCACTAGCATAATTTGCTAAATGACAATAAGTTAGCTTGATTGCAAACCATAAGATGCTGGTTCTACCGATTTAAGAAGTGCAACCTAGAGAAGATTCACAATGGCCAGGCCGTTGGCTGAGGAAGTCATAAACCGGTGGAGTGTCGCGAGCCCGCCCACGCTATTTCTGCCTGTGATGCGCCGGCGCAGCCCGCGGGATAACTACGCATAAATTAGACAACGAACATTACGCAGACAGCTTGCGGTAAAAGTGATCCAGTTTTCATGTCGCAAATAGTTAACTGTCAGTGCTATTTAGGGACTACAAGTTAACAAATTAAGTTCGGTGTTTTACGCACCTTTACACGAAAAGTCATAAGTGACTTTTGTTTGCTTTAAAGTTTACTTTTATGTTTGGCAAAACACTTTAGTTGCTATAAACTAGTGTTGTCATGTCAACCACTTGTATTACAACTGCAAAAACTACTGTAAGTTAATCTAAGTGGAATTATACAGGGAGAACATAGCACTGTTAGCAGTGGCGGGGCAATACCTAAATTTGATGTGGGCAAGACAGATTTCGCGAGGCCTTGTTCTGTGGCGACCTGAAGACGGATTTTATGGAATAATAAAAAAAACGGGTCAATGGTCTATTCATTGTCAGTTTCTGATTTCTTGATTCAGTGATTATTTTTAAAGGAATTTTGCGCCAAAGAATACTTTGTCACTTAAAACCGTGTTGTTGCTTAATTTTGTGTCTGATTATGGCTGAATTTGTCTGAAAAAAAAAATTAACTACATTGTTTACCTATCAATAATTTATATTTAATAGTATTTAAAAGTTGAATTTGACATGTGAGCAAAATTTTTGATGCGCGAGGCCCCCTGTTCCGCGAGGCCGTAGGCGGTGGCCCACGTCGCCTACGCCTTACGCCGCCACTGACTGTTAGCATTAAGACCTTATAAAGAAAGCTCTGAGTAGTTGCTGAAAAAATACCTACATTAGGTAAATCAGTTTGTTTATCTTTGGAAATTTTGTAGTAACAGAAGAAAAAATCGTTCAATTTACGGTTTTTTTATCCGACTGCGCCAGAAGGAAAGTTATGTTTTTTTTCTTCTGTCCCTCGCTACTGAAAGCTGAACACTCTAAACATGTCGGTTATCTCAGGACATGCACGACGGCTATAAACAATTAATGACTCTGTAAAACTCGTGTACACAAATGGGGGACATAAGCAGTAGCTGATTTTAATATCCATGTTAAAAGATAACTAACATACCACTTAACAATCATTAAAAAGCATTTAATCATTTTATTTCATTCATTATTTTCATGTTTACAGTAAATAAGTAGGTAGGTACCTACAGTTATTAAAATTATGTAAGTTATTCAAGTGTTTATTGATAAATGATAGATATCGACGTAAACCAATCAAATTATTACGAATGGTAGTTATAATATGATCAAATGCAGTAAGTTTTTATATGGGATCAAACGGATGCAAATGTGCACAAAATACATTTATGCACATAGGGTAGGTAGGTACCTACAAAAGGTAAAATTAATGCCATATGGCAACTCTCCCTGTCAGCCTTTGGGTCAAACAGAATTAAGACTCATCGTCTCTAAATTCATCCTAAAACCTAAGTTACTGATGGAGTACTTTTATCTAAGAGTCCCGAGTCTATTCACCTATCAAACATAATTAGTTGTAATTTCAATCACTGTTCTAAGTGACACCGACTAAAATACCTTTAGTGTCACCCCTATAAATTACATATTGTAACCTTTAACAAAACAAATGACAGATAAAGATCACCTGGTCATAGCTTTCATGGGAAAATAGGGTCTGAATGGGGAATTACCACTCACTAAATCACCCCTGTGCAACCTTATCGTGTTTTGGAATTCCCATAATCGGGAAAGGGAAAATTTTCTCACAGACTCATGTTTACTTTGCGAATAGTAGTTAAGTGCGTTAAAATGGTGAAACC